TCTCACTAGTTTATATTATTGTAGGGTATAATTTCAAATAACATCTTTATATACGTGAAAAAATTTCCCGCATGTTGATTAGCTGAGTGCACATCAGTTGATCTCAAACAGTGCAGAAAGTTGAAATTGAGTACAAGTAATCAATGATTTTTTCTCCTGCAATTTGAAATAAATATTAAGCAATTGTTAACTTTTCATGAGCCCTATGGGCTTATGCAATTATTTTTTAGTCTTTGAAAAGACTATTTTCAAAGACTATTTTGCTAAGACTATTATTTCAAAGACTATTTTGCTATCCGTTTAAACGGTTATGGAAACCATTTAAACACTTGAGTTAGCCATTTAGTATCCCTTTAGAACCGTTTTCTTGACCGTTTAACGAAAAAGCGTTAGTGTCTGTTTTTCCAAAGAAGGTCACATTTATTCCAAATTGCAAGTTGGAAATCATTTGATTACCTATACAATCCACTTTGCCGTGTTGACAAAAACACACCAAATTCTTGATTTTCTTTTCTGCCTACCTCATGTTTTTTACTTTTGTCCTCCAGGACTGATGGTGTGTCAAACATGGCCCTGTAGTATTTGCAAATATCCAGATAACTGCCTTCATGTCTTGCTACCTCAATCATTATCTGATAAAATTTTAACTTTAAATCCTGCAAGAGAAAAGAGAGATCCATTCTTTATAGGAGAAGGTCACTCCAAAAAACATGTTTTTTTGTCAACCTAAATAAGAATATTGCACTAAGTTAGCTACTCACTGAAGTTTCCCCCTCTGAAGTGCAGGTTTTCCTTATGAAATTCATCTCTAAAGAAGCCCAAAATTTGACATCGTTACTGCCATTCAGCAGCCAGGCCGTGTTTTTGTGACATCATTCCATCCAAGGGATTTTGTTCATGGCTTCTGACAAGCCTTTTAACTACCACCCTAGGCTGCTCTTGAATTGTATTATCTCGAGCCAAACGTGCTCATAACCCCGAAAATGATAGACGTGAAGATAGTGACATGGATAATCAGTTGAAAAATATACATTTTGCTGACCTTGTGAAGGATGCCAAGTCAGCTGCAGGCTTTTTTGCTTCCTGCCAAACTAGAGTTGGACAGAATGACACCACATAAACACGGCCCTCACTGCCAAGTACAGTTACAAAATGGCGGCATCTAAAGTCAAATTTTGGGCTTCTTTCAAGACGAATTTCTTCAAGATAGCAGGCACTTTAGAGGATGAAACTTTGGTGAGTGGAAAAACCCAATGTTTACTTGCTATAGATGGAGACAAAAAGTAAGCTTTTTGGAGTGAACTTCTCCCTTAAAGCTTATGTTGCCATGCTTTCACTCCTAAATGTTTCATACTGTACTAGGGTTTCATCCCAGAACAGAATACCATTGTTTAAACAGTAGAACCACAAAGGGTTTTAGCTGGCTAGTTATTCTAGTGGAGGACCCCAGTGTCTTTGCTCATCAAGACCACAAGATTATTAATAATGGTTTGCCATATCTGTTATATGTGTCAGAGTTCTGCTGGTGAAAAGTTGCAAAGGGGGGAACAAAATGATATGAGATATTAAGCTGGCTGGAATAAAGGACATTTGCACTAATTGTTTCTGCATATCCTTACTGCGCAAACAAATTCACATGCCACGCAATGCATCAGCATGCGCGCTGACCAATAAAATGATCAATGATAGGGCAGATGGCCATTGCTATAGCTTTTCCTGGATTTAACGATCTTGACATTCGGTGACCCCTATTTTTCTTTTGATGGATCATTTTCTCTACTGATTTTCTATGTTAAGCAAAAAAATGAAGAAAATCTATCAACTAGAAGTTTTTTTTTGCAAAATGCACCACCAAATTCCATTCTTTTTAGGTCTTTGTTTATCTATACGACAGTTTCAAATGCCTCTGGAAGGGTTAAGTTTTGTGAAAAAGTTGGTAACATTTGGAATTATTTACGCAACAGACCCACTTCTACAAAATATGACCAAGATCGTTTGCCTCCATTGACTCACCTTCAATATTTTTAACTATAAACCCCTCTAGAGCATGCTGAATTACCTGAGCCAATTTTTCAAAATCAGGGTACTTTTCCACACGTTTTACCTCTAAAACGAAGTTGGTGACCCCAATTTTTTTGGACATTTCTGACACAACTAACTCATTATCTGACTGCAGTAAAAATTTNTTAAAGTAAACACCAACCAAAGCCGTTACGTATTAGATGCCATTATATAGTTTCTCTATTTCACATCATTGTTATAAATCACAACACAACTCCACACTCCAGAAAAGTTTTCAGCTGTTCACTGTTTCTTAAACTACTCTGCCATACTCTTCAGTGCTCTGACAGTGAAACAAGAGATGCATGGCAAACCTGTTCTTGGTTGTTCTCAAAAAACTTTGGACTGATCTTCTTACTGATGATCTGTGTTCTAATGTAATCCTTCTTGGCGAGACACAACCTCATTTGCTCCAAGATAAATTCCACCTTTTCACGTCTCTCCATTGATCCATATGTCTCAACCTGTAAGATTCATGAATGAGTCCATGAAAGAGATTAATTATTTGTGGTTACATTTCCCTTTCCTTGATAGGTTTTCCTTAGTACAATACTGCTACAGAGCATTATCACTCATGTGGCCACTCTGTTGGAACAATAGAATGTATTTACAGGAGAAAAGAATTAAACTCCCACGGAATTTGTTTGGGACATCAACATGGCCACTGTTTCATAGTTTTGCGTTTTCAAATCAATTTTAGATAACACTGAAATACATACCTGAAGCTCTTGAAGAACGTTGGCTGCCTCTAAAATGAAGAAAACATCAAAGATATTGAATTCACCAAACTGTGCTGTCTGAAGACTAATAATATGTTCATCAAAAAGAAGAGCTGAGGAAATATTGACTCCACCAAAGTCAACTGAAAGTGATATTGTTTCCAAAATCAACGTTATGCGCACACATGTACAGAGCTGCTGTAGTGTAGTCTGCTAATTTAAACATATTGTTTACCAACTCCAGCAAATTAACTGGTAGTTTGTTTCAAGATTATAGAGAGCTCTGAGTGAAAAGGCTTTACGAAATTAATTCTCTGCTCTGATAAGAAATAGTATT